TTATGTGGGTTACCTTGTGACCTGTGGAAAATGCAGGCCCAGGTGTTTCTAGTACTTGGCCACAAATGTCTGCAGCAAGCCCTCGGGTGGCCGAGGACACGGTATCTCAAGAAGGGACTCCTCACGACTAAGATCTTCTAAGCTACCTCAGCAAATGAGGTCTAGCATCATTTTTTTTTTCTAAAATCTTGAAGTCAGAGAGCACTGATGAAAATACCACACCCTTTGAAATCTCTTATTCTGGAAACTCAGGTCAAAAATCCATCATTTTTATATAAGTATAAACATGACTGAAAATACTTTCTGCAGTGATTCTGCAATGACCCCACAAAGGCCAGGGATAAAATCTGAATGTCATATATCATGAGGAGGTTCATTTTCTGACTCCAGCAGAACCACACTGAGGATCATAGAAAATCTCTGCTGTTTTTGTTTAGCTCTAATTTAGAAGAACCCAAGCTTCTCCTGCATATTAGTAGTCCCATAAATGAGGTTTAAAATAATAAGAACCATGAGTAATCTTTTACTTTGATCACTTCTCTGAAAGCCACAGCCTATCACGCTGAAAGTCTCTCTTGTCAGTTCTATGTGGATAGCAGCATCGGATACCTTTGTACTTTTTTCATCATCCATTTAAAAAATATTGAAATGACTTGTGATAAAAATGAGATGGAATCTGTTTATTGTAAGCCTGGTATATTTGCTCTTTCCAAATACTTGCCTATGAGGAATCTCAAAATCAGATTTTTTTTTTCATTCATAGTAATGCCATCACACGGAGAGCTCTTCTCCTGACAAAGTGACTCTGGAAGGAGGGCAGTGGTGCTCTGGTCCTCAGAGGAGAGGTCTCACCTGCACCTCCCTCTGCACAGCGCCCTTTGACCCTCAGCTACATCCATCAATTGTGATGTGACACTGACAGAATATTTCTAGGATTGTGAATGATTGTCTGGGTGGGTGACATCTGTCCCTGGCAGTGAAATGAAATATAGGGAATATGTTTACCCCCCGACTCCCGCTGCCGCTGCAGATTCCCCAACTCAAAACCCTGGAATAACATGTTATTTACTCTTCTGTAGTTGAAAGCAGGAAACCATGCTTCTCAGGGACCCTACAAAATCTTCTAATAGTTAAGTTTTGTAATTTACTCAAATGACTTGGGGAAATTTTAATGAAAAATAAAACACTTTAAAACTTTTAAATCAGAGGTAAGCCTTGAAAAAACTTACTTCCTCAGAAAATGTATTACATACTTAAGGAATATGTTTACTATTTTTATACATTTCTTAAATTTCTGCAACAGAACTATATTGCTTTTTACTTTTTCTGTGGCATATAGGGGAGAGGTTTATAAAACTATATAAATTTTATTAAATATATAATTAATTGCAAGATGTTCATCAGTCTCGCCAAGTTAAAATAATCACTTAGAAAAATTAAGGATAGTATTACACAAAAAATCTTGTCAGTAATTAATCCTCATTTTGCCAGGGAACTTAGGGCATCTTTGAAGCATAAATTCAGAATCAAATGACAGACTAACATGGGCTTTTAGCTTCCCCTCCCACTCACCATCTAGGTAAGAAATATCTCAAACACAAAATGGAAGCTGATGGATGTGAGGAAACACAGAAAACAGTGGGCAGTTCCTGGAGACAGAAGACAGTGGGTCTGAAGGAGGAGATATTGGCAGAGGGAAAGAGTATTGAGTACCTTGCTGGGTAGGGTGCTTTCATTACGCACTTTCTACACAGAATTTTCCATGCATGACGTGTTGAAGCCTTCCCTCCCGCCACCTGGGGCAGGGAATCAGAGCACTGCCCAGGGCTGGATCATTGCCAGGGGAGGGGCTGACCCAGGAGGCGGGCACGAGCTCCAGCCCTTGGGCATTCACTTCCTCCACCGCCTTCTTCACAGTGAGGGGAGCGCAGCCCAGGAAGCATAGGACGTCCCTCTGAGAGATGAGATGGAGGAGGGGGTTCAGCCTGATTCAGAAAAAAGTATGAGTTCACAGAGAAAAACAGGCTAGCATGCAGGATCTCAGGCAGCATAAAGGAAAGATCACAGTCTCAACAACCAGATGAAGCAGAGTGAACAGAAAAGAAAAATACAGAACTTTCTTAAAAGTCTTAATATTTTCTAAAATATGAGAAAGGGGACATTAAAGTCACTGGTAATGTTCTGTATTTTTAAGCTGGGGGTGAGTACAAGGTAATTCATTTTATTCTCATATATATATATATATATATGCTATAAATATTTAATATATAATTAATGTTTTTAATCTAAAGCAAATGAAAATACACATAGTTGTGTGGAAGCTGCCAAGTTGAATTTTTTAATTATCAATAAAAAATAGTCTACAATAATATTCCTCAAACTTAACTAATACACTGACCCCTTTTAAAAAGTACAAAATTATTACTAACTCCCCAAAAATCTCTTACTCTAAGGAATGTGTTCTTGAACCCCTTGAATCTAGTTTGAGAAACATTGACTTAATTAGCTCATCTTAATCTTTAAGTGCATTTCAACTTTTAATTGCTGCAGCATAGATTTTTGATGGTGGAGAGAGATGTCATCTTTACAACTGGTTAAAAATTTAGAGTATCATCAAAGTGCAAATCTGAAATTTAGAATTTTTCATAAAACTTTTCAGTCTCAAGAAAATAGCCACAGATCCCAGGATACACAAACCATAATTTGATAAATACCAAGAATTCTGGAAGAGTTGCAGTCAAAAGGCCAAGTTACAACATGACTTCTCAAGCAGAAAAATAGTCAGTGATACTGACAACTTAACATGAAATAATGATATTTTTATATATGCACAAAGGCTTATTTATGTATAATACTTGTTCTTTGCTGAAATTATATTGTAGAACCAACTGAACAATACATCCAAGATGAATAACAAAATCATACAAGTCTGCTGGAACTATTTAATAATTAAAGAGGCAATATAAGGCATTAATAAGTGTGATGTTGTTAATGAAAAGTAGAAATAGTTGGATATTACAAGGATAGTTGTATATTGTATATCAATAGTTGGATAGTTGGATATTGATAAATATTTGTTGGATCTGACATGAATAGTCCAGACCCAAACGGTATTGTTAATAAGCATTTCATATCCCTCTTTCTGACCACCTTGCCTTCAGCAGAGTTTCAGTTCAGAGTCTGTTGGTCATATCCTGCCCTGTACCACTGACACTGGCTTTCTTTTCCCGTGTACCAAAGCAGCCACTCCAGACTGTACCCAAGATGGCAGCATACCCAATGCACCTTCCAAAATTCCTCTCTGAATTTCTGTTGTTTCCTCTTCCTCCACACTTTTGCAGCAAGACAATGGCAATCCCTCATTTCCATCTCAAAAGTGGCTTCTCCGAATGACTTTCCCAGCAAGACATCACTGGGCAAGAAGCCCTCTCAACTTTGCTGGTCCTTCTCACAGTCTTACATGCATGCAGTTTATTCACCAGTATTCTGCTTTTCTCTCCATTCATTTGTGGATTTTTTTTCTTTTTTTTTTTAATCCCATTTCACTCTGTGCACCCACATTTGTTCTTCACAATTGTCATTGTTGAGTGCCTCCAGTGGTCAACCTGGGGAAGATGTGCCATGGTTGTTTGATGTGTTCTAAGCAATTCCAGGTTATAACTTATGTCTTTTTTATACTCCCAACTCCTAACCGGCTTAGAAGACCTGTCACTTGGAAGGCATGCACTCAGTACAGAGGGCAAAGCACTTGGCAGTCAGAATGTTGATGCAGATAATTCAGCTGTGCGTTCTTGGCCAGGATCGCACCAGTACAGTCAGACGGAGAATTAAGATGATCATCTGATCGTCTCTTCTCCAAAAAATCAAAGCACCACAGCCTGTTTTGTTGAAGGTCTTAAGGAACATTTTTAAAGGGGTAAGAGCAAAGGTTGCAAAATTTACCTAGCTCTGGGTTCAGTTCCAACACTTGTTCCTATATGAACTTGTGTAAGTTGAACAACCTTTCAAAGCTTTGGAGTTCTATAAAATAGAAACAATAATTGTACCTTCCTCCTATGAATGCTGTCATAATTAAATGACATAACCCATGGAAATGTTTTGGCAAGCTTGATTTCTATTTCTTAACAGTAATCAAGAAGAAAAAACAGTATTTCTCACCACTATCATGATGTTATAAGTACGTCACATTTGTTGACTTAGCCATCATCTAAGCATCCTGAGTCAAAGCTATGGTTTTTCCGGTAGTCATGTATGGATGTGAGAGCTGAGCCATAAAGAAGAATTAATGCTTTCAAACTCTGGTGCTGGAGAAGACTATTGAGAGTCCCTTGGACTGCAAGGAAATCCAACCAGTCAATCCTAAAGGAAATCAACCCTGAATATTCATTGGAAGGACTGATGCTGAAGCTGAAGCTCCAATACTTTGGCCACAATGTGTAGAGCCAACTCATGGGAAAAGACCCTGATGCTGGGAAAGATTGAAGGCAGGAGGAGAAGAGGGCGACAGAGGATGAGATGGTTGGATGGCATCACCAACTCAATGGACATGAGTTTGAGCAAGCTCTGGGAGACAGTGAAGGACAGGGAAGCTTGGCATGCTGCAGTCCATGGGATCACAAAGAGTTGGACACAACTGAGTGACTGAACAACAACAAAAGCTTCCTGTGTAGTAGGCACAGTAGGTTTCCCCATTTTGCAGATGAGGAAAAAGCAGAGAGGTTAACTAACTGGCTCATAGTCACACAGCTATTAATAAATAAATTTATTTATTTATATTATTTATATATAATTTATTTATTATTTATATAAATTATATATAAATAATTTATATAAATAAATAAATTATAAATAATAAATAAATTATATATAAATAATTTATATAAACAATAAATAAATTAATAAACATTAATGATTGTTATTTTTAAGTGTTCGATTTAATGGTGGAGCCCTTCATTCCTGCTGTTGGTCTGTAGACACTCACTGCTGTTGTTCCCTTCCAGGTGACTATCCTGCTCCAAGAGCTGTCCTCACGGGCCATGACCACGAAGTTGTCTGCGTTTCTGTCTGTGCAGAACTTGGACTTGTTATCAGTGGTGCTAAAGGTCAGAAGACATTTCTTTCATTTTAGGTCTTTAAAAACTGTACTGTTTTCACAAATTAACCATGATTTATGACTTATTTCCTTGAGGAGGCTCTCTGTAGACAAATGCAATCCCTAGGTTCTTTGCAGCTGTTTAGTTTTATTAATATTTGCTAGTACTAATATAAGATAGATGTAAAATTTTATGAAGTACTTTGTGGTCACCAGCATTCTAGCCAGAACACTGATAAATCAAACTGCAGCACACGCATCTGATGCAGTCATCACAAGTCACATTCAGCAGCCAAGGGGGAGAGAGCCGTGATCAAGGGGATCACGGGGGCTCCGGCAGTTCACCAGACAGAGCCCCGGGTCCACCTCCCTCCGCTAGTCCTTTCTTCTCAAGGTTGGGTAGGTGGGAGAGGAAATATGATGACTTAGTTCTTTTGGCTTTTTATGGAGGAAGTACTGCTTCGGGAGAAGTCAGGAAACTTCGATTCTAATTCTGGCTCAGATACCAATTCTCCATGGAAGGTTCTGGGGCAGGAAGTAATCTAATGCTTAAGAGAAACTGAAAGAAAACCAGAGGGGCTGAGTGTGGTGAGGACACCACGGAGCTAAGGAGACAGAAGGCTGAAGAGGCGGGAGACCCGAGGCACAAGGATTTGCAATTTGTGTTTGTTTTGAGCATAGTAGGAAACCATTGAAGGTTTTTAGCAAGATGATGAGATGATCAGATTTTGTTTCTAGGACCTTATTCTGACTGCTTTATACATACAGGATATGATGTCTGAACGTAGGGACACTATGTTTTTGTATTTAAGAGTAAATAACCCAGGGAGGAATACAAAAGGTATTTTCAATAAGTTGCTTTTAATGTCTGTTTTAGTAATAATATGTATAATATCATTCTATTCTGTAAAGCAAAAGAAAGAAAAGGAAAGGAAAATACAAGACACATAATACACATAGGGAAAAAACAGTAACTTTCTATATATGATGGTTGATATTACAAGTGATTGCTATTTTTCTAGCTCTTCATATTTTCTGGAATGCACATCTATTACTTTAGTAATCAGGAAAAAATTTGGGTATAGCCTCATAATGTCACTCATTTTGAAAAAGATATATCTACTGAAATCAATTGATTGAAAAATAGGAATGAAATTCATACACAGTTTTATGGAGTATTTCTAAAGGATATGGGGGATAGGTAATACCAAACTATGTTAACCAATTATTTTTATGAACTTGGCTAGTGAATATTTTATCGCAGTGCTGTTTCTGCCTGAGGCAGGGGAGAGAAACAGTTGAAGCAAAATAAATCATTCCCCATACTACTTTTACGTTCTTGCCTGATTCTTCATTTATTTGAAACAGTGTTGCTACAGTCTGAATTACTTGATTAATTTTCTCAATTTTGCCTTTTACATTTTATGTATAGACTATGGAAAAGGTACATTGATAGTATGTATTTTTATGTGGCACAGTGTTAAAATTTTGATGATACTAAAGAAATTTAGCAATTGTTTTGATAATTCCCCCAAACGTTCTAGAGAAAAATTTTCTAAACATGTATGAAGAGAACACTTCTGGGACATAGAGTCTCTTTTATTCTCATGTAATATATGGACTGTATCCTGTTTTAATGAATATTATCCCATGAAGGAAAAGAGCAAGTATTTACCTAGATGAAAAGTTTGGAAGACACATGTGTGTGTCACGTAATAGTTGTCTGTTGATATCTAACATCAGTGCTTGGCTCTTGCCAGCGTAGCTTTCTTTTCTGCCTCTTCCTACAAACCTGAGTGTATATTCAAGTACTGATTGCGGGTTTGTGAGCGTAATATGACTGGCCATTGCTGTTCCCTACTCTGCAGAGGGCCCTTGCCTCGTCCACACAATCACTGGAGATTTGCTCAGAGCCCTCGAAGGACCAGAAAACTGCCTGTTTCCACGCTTGATTTCTGTTTCCAGTGAAGGCCACTGTATCATCTACTATGAACGAGGGCGATTCAGCAATTTCAGCATCAATGGAAAACTTTTGGCTCAAATGGAGATCAACGATTCAACACGGGTAAATCTGCATGTTCAGTCTAACTAGGGACTGAGCCAAGAGGTTAAAGATTGACTATTTTGCATTCAGTGACTCGTAGTAGAAATTCTCGGGTATCCAGGTAAAGGTGTACTGGTTTATAAAAACATATAAATTCATATTGATGATAAAGCCAGAGTTCATTTAATCTCAAGTAGTTAACTCAGTAAATTGAACTTTGAAGGTGACAGCTGTTGTTTGTTTAGAGGTTAGACCCTTAAGGGGGGCTTCCCTGATAGCTCAGTTGGTAAAGAATCTGCCTTCAATGCAGGAGACCCCAGTTCAGTTTCTGGGTTGGGAAGATCCACTGGAGAAAGGGTAGACTACCCACTCCAATATTCTTGGGCTTCCCTTGTGGCTCAGCTGGGAAAGAATCCACCTGCAGTGAGGGAGACCTGGGTTCGATCCCTGGGTTGGGAAGATCCCCTGGAGAAGGAAAAGGCTACCCACTCCAGTATTCTGGCCTGAAGAATTTCAGGGACAGTATAGTCCATGGGGTCGCAAAGAGTTGGACAGGACTGAGCTACTTTCACTCACTCCCTTACTAGACCCTTAAGGAGATTTTTCTTAAACTCCCCTGACAAAAAGCTGTTCCTACACTGCACTCTCCTGACCTTAAAAGTGAGTTTATTGTCATGGAAACTTATCTTTCGAACCCTGTACCAAAATTACATACTGAATTGCTCATCATTCAGAAATGAATTAGAATTTCTGGTTTATCATTATTAAAAACAATTTTGAAATGTGTTCTGCAATTTGTTCTAAAAAGTCTTGACATTGTTAGCATTCAGAACTTAACAAGCATCATGTTACTTAATTCTCAAGTTCCTTCTGAACTAGATTGGTAATATTCTTTTTAGAACTTCTGTTACTTTGTAACCTAAATTGGTTTTAAAGAATCCTTTGTTGTAAGACTTACTTTGATGAACTTTGATAAATTCCACATTGGGAAATCTATGGCTTAGACTTTAGAAAACTTGGATGAATGGCTAAAAGTAGATGATAATGACAAGGGACCCATGGTAAGTGCCTTTCAGTAGTGACCACTGGTCATTTGGGAAACACTGAAATAAATGGTTGCTTTTCTACCTTCTCTGAAGGCCATTCTCCTGAGCAGCGATGGTCAGAACCTGGTCACCGGAGGGGACAATGGTGTGGTGGAGGTCTGGCAGGCCTGTGACTTCAAGCAGCTGTACATTTACCCCGGCTGTGATGCTGGCATTAGAGCAATGGACTTATCCCATGACCAGAGGTGAGCCATGTCAGGGAGAAATGTAATCACTCAAGAGTTGTCATTGAAAGTTCTTTAGATTTTACCAAGGGTGAAACGTGTGATGAAAAATACTCCAGCATCCAGATGGAAGAGAGTATTGTTGAAAAGGGCGAGGAGTAAGTACTTTAGGATTCTGGTAAGAAGGAAACAGGAAGAGAGGATAAGGGGAAAAAAGAAAGAAATGAGTCTGGAGAAAAACAGACTCATCTAGACACTTCCCAAGATGTAGAGTTATCTTCACCAACTTCTCTGTTCTCAGATCTTTACCTGGTCTCAGACAGGCCTGCCTGGCTTCCATAATGTGAAAGACACACATTTTTTTAGCAGAGTCTTGGCTTGAGGCATAGGTCTAGCTAAATGCAGCTAAATGCAAAGTTCAGACTACAGCTGGCCTCTGTTTTACAAACACAAGGCACAGGTTACTTGAAACAGTCTCTACCCCCCATTTGCTTATTCACACATCTCTCATTTATGTTATTTTGTGGTATTTGATGTATTGACCTAAGATACTATAATCTTTACTTGGAAAGAATCAGTAAGAATGTTAACAAAGGAATATAGTTTTCCATTATTCCTCAGTTTGCAACAGGATTTTGTTATTTCCTAAAATTTGCCTTTGCATTTATTATGAAGTGAAATGAATATTTGGAATGTAAAGCCTAAATTTTCTAAATTTAAAAAATAAATATTAAAACTATATAATCTTAATATGGTAAATAATTTCTCATTTTTGCTATATATCTAACAAATAAGAAAAGTTTATTAAGCAACTCATTTCAACTATGTGTATACGTCTTCTTTATGAGTATTGGTTTTAAAATAGTATGAATATTAAGATTTACATGATAAAGCATCTTCACACTATTGTAAAATGATACTGAAGTCATCAAGAAAAGCAATAAAATTTAAGTTAGCTTGGGGAAGGGATATTTGATCTGCAGCTCAACCTTTTTTTTAAGAAAACTTAAGCACAGTATTCAAAAATGCATAGTCCATATTTGTGAAAAATGGGAGTGGTTTACTGTGTAATTATTTGTATATAGATTCATGTTTCTAAAGTATTTGAAATAATTTGTGTTCTTAATTATTTCAAGATTCCCCCTGGTATTCTTATCCATTCATGTATTCATGTTGCAAACATTTGCTGCACCATCATATATTAAGGACTGTGCATAGTCTGGAGGATATAAAACAAGACCACTAATCCCAAAGAGCTCCAATAATCATAATAAATACATATGAGGGAGGCGGGAGCCCAGGAACAGAAAAAGGATTAGCTCTTGTCGAGGGGTGCAGGAGGCAGGAGTATTTATGAGATGCTCATCCTCTCACATGGGTAGAGTAGATGAAAGCGCACAGGCAAAGCTGCATTCGTGTTAGCATCTCCCAGGAGGAGTGAGGAAAGATACTAATCAAGTTTCTATTTCTTTTTCAAGCTCATCCCTAATTTCAGTTATTCTTGATGTTTTATAATGCCCCTGATATGTTCAAACAGTAGTACATGCACGTGAGTTACAAACTGACAGATAAACAGACAGTGAAGATGCTGTCCTCAAAAAGGTGTTTATCTGATGAACTGTGGGATCAAGTGGATAACACTTGGTCCAGCAGTCCAGGTGTTTGTTGGATTGAGTCAACTTCTCTCAAGAGAACCAAGAATAAATTTTAATCCCGTCTCAGGACACACAAAACAAAAACTTGGTGAACTTTGAGATCATGCTATTGTTTAGTGTAAAGTAGAACCATATCAGTGATTTTGTGTCTTTCTTAACTACTGTCTCTGCTTTTCCAGGACTCTGATCACTGGCATGGCTTCTGGTAGCATTGTAGCTTTTAATATAGATTTTAATCGGTGGCATTATGAGCATCAGAACAGATACTGAAGACAAATGAAGAACCAAAAGCCAAGTTAAAGCTGAGAGCACAAGTGCTGCATGGAAAGGCAATATCTCTGGTGGAAAAAAAAAACTTGTCTACATCGACCTCCATTTGTACATTCCATCACACCCAGCAATAGCTGTACATTGTAGTCAGCAGCCATTTTACTTTGTGTGTTTTTTCACGACTGAACACCAGCTGCTACCAGGCAAGCTTATATCATGTAAATTATATGAATTAGGAGATGTTTTGGTAATTATTTCATATATTGTTGTTTATTGAGAAAAGGTGGTAGGACGTGTCACAAGAGACTTTTGACAATTCTGAGGAACCTTGTGTCCAGTTGTTACAAAGTTTAAGCTTTGAACCTAACCTGCATCCCATTTCCAGCCTCTTTTCAAGCTGAGAAGAAAAAAAAAAAACCACGTTTGATACTTTGTACATCAGATGCATCTTATTTAAAGGGATACTTTTGTAAAAGTAAAACCTTGTATAAAGAACAAAACGTTTCTTAATTTTATTGTGGAGTTACAACTTGCATGTTCTTTAATCCCTATGTCTTGATGGAACAGGTGCACTGACAGTAGGAAATAGTAAGATCTGTCCAAGGACACAGTTTGTATGAAAGGATTGAATTTGGGCTCAATCAATAATTTTTCACATTTCCACCAAAATATAGTTTTCACTTTTTAATCAGAATTCCATCCCTCTACGTGAAATTTGCTCATAAAGCATTTGGACACTAAGCCATTATTTGCCATTTTTCGGTACTTTATACAAAGAAAATTCAGCCCTGCCCTTCGTAACTTGAAGACACAGCAGAAAGGGGGCTTAGAGCTGAGGCCCTGGTTTTACTGTGTGAATAGGAACCCGATCGTTAGTTCCTTAGTGATGGCTCCCAGCTCCTGGACCAGTCTTCCAGACTCATCCTGCTGGCTTAGCGTGTGTACATTAGGGGAGGAGATCTGATGCTAACTTTTTTTGTTTGTTTGTTTTTGCTGATTTTTTATTTTTCTCTCTCTTTGGTTCTTGAATAGCTTAGTTTCTTTAATAAATAAGTCAGACTTTATTATAACAATAACTGAAGCTATTCTTTTAGGTTCTTGTGCAGTTCTCACCTAAAGCCACATTCTTAGCCTAAGGCACTTCATCTTTTATGATATAAAATGACGCTATCAAATGATTTTCCATACATTGTACTGATCAAGTTATACACCCAGGGGTATATACACTTTATTCATGTTTCTTCTTTGTATATTTGGTGACCGTATCGTCATAGATGTACATATTGTGTCGGTAGGGCTATGAGGCATGTTACAGGAATGTAATTTTCTCAGAACTTACACTCACTTGCAGTCATTTATTTAAAAAGATAAAACAAGATAATGGGTTCTTTGTATTGGCACTTTGCACCAGAACCATATCATTATTTATTGATGTGATTACTTATTTGTTATCCACCTTGTACTAGTAAGTTTTAGCACTGAATTCCTTCTTCATTGTTGTTTGTATTTATGAGATTCTGAAATTCTGGGGAATCGGCGTAATGATTAAGTTATTCATCACCAGGCTGTAAGCAATATCTTGAGTTTGTAGCTTAGAATTGGGAGGATAATGAACATCTGGAAGACAAGTTCATTTCATCTTGAGATCATGGTGAAATATTTTGGATATATAAATTCCTTAAGCTATTGTAACCATGTTTTATTGCAAAGATGTAAAATATGCCAGATGTGTGTGAGTTGGAAATCAAAAAAAGAAAAATAAAATATGCAAAGAATTCACTGATTGTTCCACATTTCATTGGACACTTCACTTACATGCATTCATTATGTTGTCATACAAGTTTAAGAAATCAGTGTCACCTCATGGAAAGGCGCAGAGCATCTAAGAACATGAAATAGAGTCCTAATGATGGTCCATAATTCGCTGAAACTTGAGCTGCTTGGCTTGACCATCTGGCAGGGGTTTGGGGCACCAGCAACCCGAAGGAGCCAGTTCTTGTCGTTTCTTCTGCACAATCCAGTTACTGACACAGACGGTTCCAGGTATTTTTGCCACAAGTTTCTTTGCTGTAAACATCTTTTCCATGAAAATTTTTGCTGTAACTAATTGTCCATACGGTAATTTTGCTGTGAAAGATAAAATAATGGAAAATAGAAGAGGGGCATTAAGAACAACATAATGAAACATGAACAATGAGTAACAAATTTTTTTTTTTAAGTAATGGCAAAATATAAACACTTGAATACATTTAAAATGTGTGTAGATTCATGGTAATACTGCTCAAATAACTGATTTTACTTTGGAGGCTGTACCTAAACACTTGTCTCCTACGTCTTATGTTCATAGTATTTTGTACTTTTTTTTTTGCTTGTTGATTTATTTCCTCATTCAGCATTGCACTTTTTTCATAAAGTGTCTTGCTTCATTAAAAGATGTACAGATGATCACTTTTCAAATTCTAGGATGCATATTTGTCACTGAGCTCTGTACTGGGCAGTGAAGGCCTTCTACACCACTGTGCGCTCTACTGGGATGTTGTCACAGGTCCGCTGATAGAAGTTCCAGAGTTCTGTGGGAGATGTGAGTCCCGGTCTGCACCTTCCTTCCAGGCCCTCGGCCTCTTTCTCCTCCAACGTAATGTGTTTGAAAAGAAGAAATGTAACACTGGGGGCAAATCATCATCGATTGTCGTGATTCATTTTCTGTGTATCAGGCAGTCAGCTAGGTCATCTTTTACGACAAAATCGCCTTACGTCAGTTAATTATGCAGCTTAATTATTTGCTGCAAATAAGTTGACTGCAAAAAACGCGGGAGGTGGCCACAGCCGGGGGCCTTTCCAGTGAAGTTTCCGGGAATTTCCAAATGCCAGGAGTGCCCGAGACTTTAAAAGAAGGACTATTCAAAGCCTGAAATTCCTACTCTCTGCCCACCTTCATCCCGTCGGAAGAAGCGACGCCAACAGAGTTTTAAGAGCTTCTCATATTCTGGGCATTTTCAACCAACAAAGGGCTGGGTCACATCACTCGACTCCTCACTCTGGAAGTAAGTTTTTAGTGCTCTCGTCAGTTAAAATGGGGCTAATTGTCTCTACGTTGGGGTGTTTTAAAGCCTAAGTCAAGCTTTGGCGAGCTCGCTAGGCAGGTGGCCATGGCCTTCCACAGTCTAGGGGGCGCCTTTCATTTTCGCTGTTTGGCGTCGCTTTCCCTGTTTATCTGCTGTGGATTTTCTGGGGGTACCTCCTCCTCCCCTACTTATCATGTGACTTTTCTTTTTTTTTAACTGGCACTCAACCCCTGGGCACTCATGGATCCATCCTGGTCCCACCACGTTGCTGCCTTTTCTGTTGACCCCGGTGCTTGGTCAGGGGTAGGTTTACCAGTGACCTTCCCCAAAATGTGTTTTCTTTTAATAATTTTATTTGTTTGATTTTGGCTGTGTTGGGTCTTGGTTGCCGCGTGGGCCTGCCTCTAGTCGCCGGGGAGCAGGAGGCTCCTCCCTAGTGGCGGTGCGGGGCTTCTGGTGCTTCTCCTGTTGCCTAGCAGGGCCTCGAGGGCCCGCGGGCCCCCGGAGCCGCCGCAGGTGGGTTTAGAGGTTGCGGCTCCCGAGCTCCAGAGCACAGGCTCAATAGTTGTGGTGCACAGGATGTGGGATTCTTCCCGGCTCAGGGACGGAATCTGTGTCTCCTGCCATCAGCAGGCGGGATCTTTACCACTGAGCCACCAGGGAAGCCCATCACCAATTTTTTTTTTTTTTTTTTTTGTATGCTGAAGCTAGGGAGAGAGACGACTTCCCTTTCTTACAGTGTCTGGACTGTCACCTACTAACCTGTCGCTGAGAAACCAGGGACTGCCAGCAACCAGTTCTCCACTGAGAAAGCCCATGTGGAATAGAGAATAAAGCTATGAGAGGATGCCAGAGCTGGAACACTTGTCTGCCAGCCGCGAGTCCCTAGGCACCCAAATTGCCCTCATTCTTAGAGGCGTCCCAATTCTAGACTCCTGCTTTATTCGATAGCCAATGTATACTCCCCCCACCCCACCCCAAGTTGATCAAAGCTGTATTTTTTGGTGCTTGAGAACAAATCAAAGCGTCCTTAATTAATACAATTCCCTGCCCCTGGCTCTGCTTCGAAAAACGTGACAAATCCAAATTTGGTGGTAAAGCTGCATCTATTCCTAGCCTATGTATGACCCCACGATCTCATGTTTAGGTAAAGATCCAAAAGAAACCCCTACTTCCATCCATCAACAAGACATGGAAAAGAATGCTCTTGGCAGCTTTGTTCCTGGTAATCAAACATAGATGTTGACTTAAAAATCCCATCACAAGAGAGTGCAGACTCCATGTTATATGAAGTACAAAGACTGGTGAAACTGATAACGTGCTTTCAGAAATCAGCATTGTGATTACTGGATGGGAGGTTGTGACTAATTAAGGGCCATACAGTTTCTGTTTCTTTGGGCTCTGGGGCTCGGGGGCTCGGCGGCTGTGTTGTAGAGTGCTGGAATCCTTCTCAGCTGCGTGTTTCCTGCAACTGCATTCACTTTGTAAGCATTCACTGAGTGGTCCAGTAAAAATTTGTGTCCTTTTCTGGTGGAAAAAAGAAAAAATATAATTTTAAAAGTTAAAAATTGAGACTTTTCCTGGTGGTCCAGTGGTTAAGATGTTGCCTTCCAATGCAGGGGGTACAGGTTCAATTCCTGGTTGGGGATCTAAGATCCCCCATGCCTGGTGGCCAAAAAGGCAAAACATATAACAGTAGCAATATTGTAAAAAACAAGAAAATGCAATAAAGACTTTAAAAATGGTCCACATCAAAAAAAAAAACTTACAAAAATAAATAAAAGTTTAAAATGTATCCTGCCTCATGCTGGCTCCTGTGACTGCTTTGAATTTGTCAGCCCTGAGCCAGTCCTGTCCTTAGCCAGTGCCCACGATCTTCACCTGCCCCTTTCTCCTGTGATTTTTAGGTCTGCTGTCTTCACTGTCCCATCTTGA